ATTCTCTACAATATGACACTAATGTAGTAATATTATACAAATTTATATGTAAAAAACGTTCAGACCACATTTCACGAAAGTACTATTTTCTTAATTAAAATACGTTTCAATGTAGATTTTATTCGCGTGTAAAAGCGGAAATTCTATCCCACTAGAATTAGAAATTATGATTGACTACAACTAAAAACACGGCATAACTTACTATTTAATCTTAATGCAGATTTGAAATTTTCCTATTTTCTATTACTACTTGATATTAAAAATAAATGAACACCAGGTATAACAATATATAGTAATATACACACATATAATAGAAATAACTATAATAAGAAACGTACCCAATATCACCCTTGCCACCGATTCCGCATGAAGCCATGAAGGGGTTGACTTCAAACGACTGACTGTGTAAACTGTACACATTTGTGACAATGGCTACAAATTCTATAAGTTAGAAGTTCACGCCCACCCTTATATGATATCGAATATCGATGCAACACGATTGGGCATTTTTACCTCTTCGGTATTCAAAATCCACACAACGTTTGGACACTTGATATCCCTAAAAGGTAAACATATTGGTGTTTAGACATTAAAATAAAATAAGTATATAATTATTATGAGTGATTCATTTAACGTGTCTATGACACTCATTATTCATTAAATATTAATGTTTTTGAATATTTTTATTAAATAATAAAATTATTGAATTACGTCTTTGATAGGTAGATATATGGTCTGAGTGATATACTGACATCAATAGCTACCAATAACATACCTATACCATACCATACGCATCGTGGTAAGGTAGGTAGGTACGCGGTAACGTGGTTGATTTCAATAACTATGCATAATGCCCATGCTCTTAGATATACAAAAACTTGGTAATTTTTCGTATTTCATTCATATGGCAATTGTTGGTAGTACCTAATTACTATTATATAGGTATTATATAATAATAATTATTAATTACATTATATTGTGTAATTTGTATGAGTACTAGATACAGTAGGTACCTATGTGTACAAGTGTACCTGTATAAAGTAGGCAATATTTTCTCATGTTTTTAAACCCACTTCTTCCGCTTCTTGGAAAAAAAAAACTGGCTATATATATATTATACATATAGTATATAACATGTATTATGCTTGCAGTACGCGACTGGCTACACACATCATTAAAATAAAAGTTTTTTATAGGTATATAACCCTATAGTCATAACGAATATATTACAGTATTGTATCTACAGGAGAATACCTTGTTTGTGTAGACTGCAGGTCTAGTAGGTGCGAGGCGAATTGATGAAGATGTTTTATAAACTATAGTTGTTGTAGGTATAGGTTAAATAGAAAAGTATAATAATTACCCACACACATATCATGATCACAATAACGTATACATACTACACAGGTATATGTACAAAAAAAAAAATCGATTTACGGTAGGTATCATATTTCATTGTTTTATTCATTATTTATAGTTTGTATCTAGCCTGTAGCCATACTGTAGATTAGATCATATTACTATTCACCATGTAGCTGCAAATTATAAGCGTCGGTAAATATTATAGACACCTATAATCAGGCCCGGATTAACACTACCGTAGTCCCTAAACCCATGTGCTAATACGGTCCTGCAGTGATCAGTATTTAAATGATTAAGAAACCTAATGTTTGGGAGAGGTAGTGTTGAATCTCAGTGTTTGAAGCCTTTAAAAATGAAAATATTTGCAACATGAAAATCATCATGATATTTTACATTTTGAGCACCAATATTTGATCAGATTTGATTCATCTCGTGTGCAAGCGCAGGTGTAATGTCAATTAAAGTCGGTCTTTAGTTATAAGTGTTATAACTTATACGCAGTGCTGGAGAGTTGAAGCATTTGCTAATTATTATTTATTTTTGGCTCTAGCAGATAGTGCCATTGAAACTCATGTCAACATTATTATGTTGCAATTATCTCAAATATTACATTTGAAAATTCTGTTCTTTTTTTTGTACTTGAATTACTTTAAAAATGAGGGAAATATTTTATTCCCATGTTTTAAATTTATTGACCAGTTGTCCGAAACACATTATTATTAATTTATTAGGTATCATGTTTTGCGACAAAGTCAGTTTCCCACAAAACTCAGACGACATTTGAACGATACTTTAATACGTGACTCGCGCTGTAAATATTATCACATTTTCTTATTCTTATATCGGCTATAATATTATTGGAGTTGATTACCTACTTGAAATACAAATCAGCCGGACACGAGCCTTTTTTTCTGATTTTGTTTTTATATTTTATCTATTTTTAAATTTTTATACAGGTAACTTATATAATATGTCTTACAAAATAATGAGTGAAACGAAGTACAGGCGTATATTCCACATAAGTGTTGACCGTTAGACCTTTGTTTTATTTTAATAGATTTATAATTATCTATATATAATATATATATATACATATAGGTAAAAATAAAAAAAGATAATGTTTTTTTTTTTTTTTTTTTTTGAACTTAAGCTTCGGCAACTGAGGCCATTAGCTGTAGTAGGATTTGTATTGTAGTTTGTATTGTATATTTTTTGGAACGGTAGGGGGGAACACGTGTGTGTTTGTTTTTGGCAGAATTTCGAATGGGGCACCCGTAGGTTTCTGCCATGCCCCGGGGGTGGGGGATGGCAGCACTTGTTCTCCGGTCACCGCGACTTGTCCGGAGAAAAATGCCGCCCGGTAGCCGAGGATCGAACCGCGACCGGCTGCGTCGCAGCGGACGCGTCAGACCACTCGGTCACCTCATCCCCCAAGATAATGTTATATTAGTGTTAAAATCAATAATCAAAAATGAATGTGTGCCATGGAGACACCCAGGGTCTAAAAATTTAAAATGATGGGGGGAGAGAGATACATTATAATTTAGGTATAATTTAGGTACCGACATAAAAAATTAAGACGTATAAGATCTATTTATTGTATAAATAAATACTTAATATATATCATTTCAAAAGCGGGGTCTAAAGTACCATAGCCCCCCATGGATCAGTGCCTGGAGCACTGTATCTAGAGTGATCCATCTGGGTTGAAAAAATAATTTTAACCTCCCCCCCTGTTTGGGATTTAGATACACCACTGAATGATTTTTTAATTCTACGCTAGATACATATTTTTTTTTCCACAATGAACGATGGGGACGAGGGAAGAATAAATGCCAACTCCAGTTCCTCCCCTGGTTCTTGATAACAAGGAGAAAAAAAAAAGGTATATTTCTTATGTCATTTTCTTTTTTTATAAAAATGTGGTTTCTTTTTAGATAAATAATAAAATGGATAAATATTTCTTATTTAAATTTTAAAGTACATAGTTACTCATTATTTTGATTTATTTATAAGCTAGGATTAGGTATGAGAATTTCATATTTCATCAGTCATTACCACACCACGCACGTCGTACATACTAAAAAAACAAATCAGCTATGATGACAGTATTATATAAATTTTAATTATTTAATATATTATTCATATTATATTTAATACAATTGCAACAATAGAACATATATCTACCTACAAAATACTATTCGAACCTGTTATTTATCCTTAGATGATTACAACTAAACATTTAACATTTAAAAAAAGGAATTAAATACTACTGTAATTATGCAACTATTAAACAATTGTAATATCTATTAAATAGTAATTAGGTACTTATTTGTGTTATATAATTATGCTCAATGCACAGGCATTCATTTTTTTAACGACATCAAATTATGTAAAAAAAAAATTCTAAAAATTTTAAAGTTTTTGAAATAATGAGTGAATGGATACTTAAATGGAACACCCTATATTATAGGTATAACACTTATGAAAGTATAGATATGAGTATTTTGAGTCATTCAAAATGTAGTCTGTTTAACCATATTGATATTAAACTATATATTATAAGTTCACATAGTCGATTGATTGCATTTAAATTTGAAAACTATAGGTGCATTTAAATTGTTCAGTCTAATAATAATTATTACACTTACAATTGTAAATTAAACGAAAATAAATTTATAAAATTAAAAAATTCTACATCAAATACATATAGGCATTATACCTATATAGACCCCTTTAAGTCAGTTGTGCACTTGTGTCTATTATGATATGGTATCTATAAGGTTGATCGAAGCTTTCTGTACGCCTCCACAATATAATATATGATATCTGAACCTATAGTATATATAATATACAGCAGTGAGCAGCGTACAAGACGTTCACTTTCGTCGAGGTCTTCATAAATAACGTTATTATAGTTACAAACACAAGGTGACCCTAAATGTATTAACTATTACTATTGTATAGGCGTATTGTTTAGTATTAATAAGTACAATTATTCGTCTCTATAATACAACAAATGTTTAGTCGTTATTTCAACAAAACACGATTTTGTATGAATGTTAAAAAAGAAAACATTTAAAAACTAAAATATTTAGTATTTTTTTAGTTTCAAGTGTTTGGACCGTAGAGGGTATTTTATTTCCATAGTATATATAGGTGTATAGTATAGCAGTACGCGTTTTTTGTTACAGGAAATAAGTAGGTACAAGTCGTAACAGATTTGTGGGCATATTATATTATAGTGTAGTCCGACATCTGCGACATCATGACGTATCATTCCACTTTCCAGACGACTGCAGCGTGTTACGTTTTTTTCGCCAGAGAACCGGTGGAAAACAATGCGCACGCATAAGTCTGTCGCAACCGCAATACAATACCTACGACTATATTTAATTTGTGTACGCGTCTCTTACACGAATATTGTTATTTAGTAAAATACACTGCAATACGCATTATTATTATTATTATTATCATCATTGTTATCGTCGCGTGGGAGGTCACGAGCTCGAATCTCTCGCCGCGCCCTTCCCAAATCCCAAACACGCGTCGGTGGTGGAAATCCGCGTCCGCGTCCGCGTCCGCCCGCTCGGCGACCGAGGCAGCTGCGTTCGAGAAGAACAATATTATTATGTTTGGTATCACCGCGCCCGTTCGATCAGTCAGTCTGCAGTCAGAGTCCGGTCGCCGAACGCATTAGGCAATATACCTAGCTGGTATCCGCCGCAGACGTATAATATTACGTATATATCGTTGTCGATATATACATATAATATCATCAATATCCAAAGCTCTATATACGCACGCCGAGAGTCGATCGAGTCTGCCGAAATACAAGCGATCGGCCGTCAGTCGTCGGTGCACTGGGAATCGCGAGCGGACGTCATCGACACACGTCGCATAACATACCAAATACACGATAACTGCATCACGAGACACCGTCGTAGCACACCGTCAAGTCCGTGACGTACAACAAAGTCGTCCCCGCCCGGCGCAAAAATATTTGATAAGTTGTCGTGTATTACATATAAACGCGCGGACCGCCACAGCAGTCAGTCGTCGCACCAGACATGGACAAGCAACAGGAAGCCGCGGTCGCAGCAGCCGGTTCACCGTCCGAAGACAGCATCAGCATGAAAACGGAATATCCCACGCACGAGGTGTACGTCTCCGAACCACCACCGGTGAGTTGTAGACGGTTATTTATAGCACTGTACCCCTGTGTACACTGTATAGGTAGGCTTGCAGTATTAATAAAATGTCCAGAAAAAAATATTTCATCACGCCGACGGTCCACGATTTTCAATAGAATACCTTTGTTGTAAACGTCGATAATGAATGACGACGAAAATTTGACTTACCCACGAGGAGCAGTCGTATATAGTTCGACCAAAACCGTCCGTCCGCGTGCCGTGGCCGTCACACTCCACTTCGCGGTTCGCGAGAAAGTCGAAACGCTCGTGCCCGTCCTTTTCGGTAAGACCGCAAGCCGACCGGAAGCGTGTTTTGTTCCTTTGGATTTCGATCTTTCCTATTCGGCTGGTTGCGGATATAATAATAACTACTATCTTGCTGACCACTTCGAGATTACTAAATATTGTTGTATTTGCACATTTATACTTACACAATATGCGATACGATATTTTTAGCAACGTGCATATTTATATACATGGCATGACCCCAAGCGGGTGACTTCAACGGCTGAGTGCTGCCGTGTATGCGATTTTTCTCCGGATATCGGATCGCGAAAAATAAATCATAAAAAAGACTCATTTTAACCTTACAAGACCGTTCTGCTAGCAAAAAAAAAAACGCTTCCATAATATAAATTACAATTGTTGTCTTGTACTCTCTTTATACAATGTATAGGTAGATACTTCGAACTAGGCACCTTATTATATGGCTTAGTATACCTACCTATACCTGCAGCTGTACATTGTACATTATATTATTGTTATATTATATATGTGCAGCATAGGTATTACTATTTACTTTATGTTCTACGTTCACATTTTCGGTTTGGTTTTTTTTCACGTGAAACCTGTTGTCTGTGGGACAAACAATAGTCGGTAAAAATTAATCGCTTTTACTATAATATATTGTGTACACGAAATGAGAAAGAAAAACTATTTAAGCGTACAGTATATAGTAATAATAATATACGTGCGTACAGATCACGAGTGCAGTACAATAACAGCGATTGACACACGCGGCGCATGTTATTTTAATATAATATAAATTATAATCATTAATCATAATTCATAATTGTGATGCATGTTGCGAGTATTATAGGTACCTACTACCTATATTATATAAGCCGTCTTTAGCAGTAACCTATCATTCGTACAGGTAGCATATTTAAAAAAAGGGGATGTCGTCCGTGGTATCGTCTCTTGCGGGGCCGAATCTGAAAAAAAGACTATACCTACAATAATGATTTGTAATTATTAATAGTACATCCATCGTTGCTCGAGGGGCTTGTTCTCAACTATACATATATTGTTAGCACATCGTCGCCTAGCGCGTCTAAGAACGACGTTCTTATTATAATATCATCATTGTCGTCGGACGACGAATAATAAAAACAATAAATAAAAAATCTCAGTGCATATACTTATTGTGTATTTTGATTTTTGTACGGAGGTTGTTTTTGATGCTGTACTACCGCCGCTGGAGGGAATACAATATATATTATATATTGCTTCAATAATACACCAGTTGCATGTATACATATACAAAACACAAAGTAATGTAATCATAATAATAATAATATGTAAAAAGATGGTGTGTCGAGGACAACTGGGTATAACGACTGTAAACAATATGTAGTATAATTTATCCTTTCTCTTCAACTCTTGTGTTGGGCGCACAGACGTACATATATATTATTATAAACGCTTTACCTTGAGTTCAATTCTTACAATGCGCACGTTAATGGTCGTGTGAGTGTTTTGGATTCTATTTTTACAACAAATTACGATTTACTTTGTCCTATACGTAAAAAAATAATAAAAAACACTTAAAAAGAGCTTTTCATGCTTGACATACTGCAGTTAACTACGCCACCAACAAGGCCGTCGTGTGTAGCTATATATTATAATATATATTATATAATACACATAACACTACTATATGTCCATCCAATACGCCACGCCGGCGACGGGATAACAAAATATTTTTGTCGTTATCGCCGCTGACTTTTTGGGTTGACATGAGAGAACAACAAGTAGGTAGCCATTTTGTATACAGTTACTGCGCAATGAAGTTTGCAACTCTAACTGACACATTGCACTTGGATTGCTGAGTTCGTAAAATAGTATGTTGCGCAATTTGCGCCGTGTACATGTTTACATAGAAAAAATATAATAATTTTTATCATAAGATCCAAATGTGTATTTACTTGCACTGTGCCAAAAAAACATACCTATATGCTATAAAGACAAAAACTTGAAGGAAAATATGTAAATGCCGCGTTGTGTTGCATTAAGGTTAATGGTTTGTTGTTAAACCGGTTGTCGGATAAGGTCTTACGGGTAAAAAATAAATTCAACGAATCTTCTAGATTTTAGAGACGGTCTGGAAGATTTCCAGAATATATTTAGGTAGCAATAATATTATGCTACAGCTGTACAGGCACACACGGATCGTTATTCTGGATTTAGTAAAATGTATATTGTACAGTGTTGTATATTTTAATTCTTCCAAATAACGTTTAATGTTTATACATTTTGTAGGTACTTATATTTTTACTCAACTGATTATCATTTGTGCCAACGTATACATATATCTTTTTATAATGAGTCAATTTCGATTACGAGTCTGGTTTATGATTATGACGCTTACTCTTTATTATAATACGAATATTATACGATCATTATAATTCATTATATTGTGTACTTTCCAGTAGATTTTTAAGTGCACAAATTGCATATACGTGGTAAACACAGTTTCACTTGGGGTACAATAAATGTATATGTACATTGTACACTCACACGCACGCTTTCTCTTATGATACGACCCATTAAATGATTTATGAATTTGACGGTTTTTTTGCATGAGCTAAATGCCTTTAATGACGAATTTTCGCATTCACCTATAAACATCGCCGGACACTTTCCATTCCCATTAATACTCGACGTTTGAATGACATATTCTGAAAAATAATGCGGTCTATCTGCTGTCTGCACTCTGCACCGATATTAACGAAAAAGAAAAAGGGCTCATTACCCGCATTATGTTATTATTCGTATGTCTTTACTAATATGTTAACCACAGAGTTGATGATCATGCCACTCAATTATTTTTGGATTCTATAATTTACCAATACATTAGCAGTTAACAATTATATTCAACAAATGAAAAAAAGTCCAGAAAATAATAATTATTACTACATAGTTAAGCTGCATAATGAATTTAAATTTTCACTTCACCAGTTCACCCATATTTTGTTATTGAGAGAAAATCACATTTGTCTTCTATTCTATTATAACATCTGTTATATTCTAGTATATATAAAAACAATAAGTATGTTAAATTAGATAGAAAGTATGTTACACGATTTAAAAAAATATTCAAATACACCATATTATTCATATTTTTTCCTACAAAATTTTAATTTATGATTATTACTATTATGCAACCGACACTTGTGGGTTGCCGAGTGTATAAATTCATAAAATTAGAATATTTTTCTTCTTACGAATAATTATAGATTTTCACACACAAAAAAAGTATTAGACGATTATGTAATTTAATCTATAGTATATTATATAGTTGTTATTACTTGTTGCATTATATGCTCTCTAATGAACAACAATTGTTAAAAAATCTAATGAAATTCAATAACCGTGTCATTGATTAATTTGACTGACGAGTGACGACCACCCATTTTCAGAAATAAAGTAAAGTAATAACCATTTGCTAGTTCAAATTTTTATTCAGTTGTAGTAATAAGTATGGCAGTGTCTATGTATAAAGACATTCAGTAGGTGTGAATGATATGTATTTGTTCATAGTATTTATAGTATAATATATATATTTAATAAGTATATCTTTTATCATTTACAAACAAAATATTGCATGCAAATATACTGTAATATTTAATTGCAGTATTGAATTTGAAGATTAAGACAAATGTAGACATTTTTATGAATAATCGTTTATAGTAAAAATATCCATTATAATTTATAGTGAACATTCTATTCTTTTTCGTATTAAAATTACAACATGATAACATTGAAATGATAATGATTTTTTTTACGTCTTACTTCCTTATCATAAATGCATAACATATTAGGTATAACTGTGTAAGGAATAATATGGCTTATCTATTATGAAAATTCTTTGATAAAATACAAATAAACAGTTGATTTCATAATGCCCAGAATATCACGAATCTCGAATAAGTACAAATGGAATTGAAAAACATGTAAATATCAAATATACCGTAAGTCCGAAGAAAACTGAATACACCCTATTACTCAGTTACCTACATTACTCAGCAGGTACCCTATTTACATGTTTTAGAATTCTGTTTGTGTAAGATTGATGATCCAATAGTCTAGTTTCATGTCCCCCAATCGGAATTCAAAAATATGTTTACGACACTGAGTACATTGGGTAATATAATTATACAGTTACCCTGTTACCATTAAATGGTGAAAAAAGACAAAAAAAAAGTTTCTCCATAATTTAAATCGTTATCGAATTTTAATCAATTTAACTTACATAATAGTAATCAGATAATGGCACACGCTTAAAATTAAAATTAAGTAAATTTACACCTACATGGCTACATATAGGTATATTATATCCAGTGGCGCCCAGATAGGTTAGCAAGGGGTGCAACTGCATGTGCTCTCGTGGTGGGTGGGTGGGTGGGAGGGTAGGTAGGTATAGACGCCTATGGTTATAGGTACCTAGATAAAGTATAGGTTAACAATTAGTAACAGTTCAAAAGAACGTTTTTTTAAATAAAAAATGGGTGGGTGGGTGGGTCACTTTTGTTAGTTGCATGTGCTCTCAAAATACTTCTGTGCGCCACTGATTATATCTAAATACAATTCGAGTCTGTAGGCTATAATATGAATATGACACAGTGGTGTTAGTCCTGTTATATAAAAAAATATTTTAGTTTGCATTATAACTGAAATATACATATCTTTTTCAACAATAAACGCGTTAA